CCAACCCTACACAATGGAGGAGCTCCTCTACGTAATCCAAAACAGGAAAAAGGGCACAGCCCCAGGATTAGACCTAACTTCTCACCAAATAATTAAAAAACTCACCCTAAAACTACTCCAGGCACTACTCAAACTATACAATCTCATCTACCTAAACGGGCAGGTTCCTACTCCCCTGGAAACAGGCCCTAGTCATACCAATCCCTAAACCTAATAAACCAGCTAATCAAGCTAACTCATATAGACCAATATCCCTAACTTCAAACTTATGTAAAGTAATGGAATCAATGGCTAAAAATAGATTACAACACTACCTAACCCAAAATAACATCATAAACCCAGATCAAAGCGGTTTCACTCCTGGCCGCTCAACCCTAGATAACCTCGCCCGACTAGAGCAAGATATTAAGACAGGACAACTAAATAAACAATATACCACAGGCATTTTCTTAGACTTCTCTAAAGCTTTCGACATGGTATGGCACGACGGGCTAATACAAAAACTTTAAAAAATAGGACTCAAAGGTCAGATAATAAACTACATCCAGGACTAAACAATCGTAAAATAACCGTGGGTATAGACCAAACACTATCGGACCAATGTCCCCTAGAAAATGGCACTCCCCAGGGCAGTATCCTCAGCCCCACCCTCTTCAATATAATGATAAACGATCTATTCGAGGGCCTATCCCCTAAAGTAAACACATCAAAATTCGCGGATGATGGAGCCCTCTTGATCCGCACTAAAAGCATCAAAATGGCCACAAATTTACTCCAAAAATCTCTTAATAAAATACAACAATGGGCTAACAAATGGGGCCTCTCCCTTAACTCAGAAAAAACAACAGGAATAGTATTCAAACATAAAAAACATGAAACCCGCCTCCCCAATCCTCCAGCTAAACAACCAAACAATCAAATTTCAAAAACAAACCAAATTTTTAGGACTTATTTTCGATGAACATCTCACCCGGGATGCTCACATACAAAACCTAACAACTAAATGCAGTAAAAACCTAAACACCTTAAGATGCCTAACTGGCTCTAACTGGGGAGCCTCCAAAGATACCCTCCTCTCTCTCTACATATCACTAATTAGATCAAAACTAGACTACGGCTGTGCCATATACAACACCCTAAACAACTCTCTATCTAAAAGACTTGACTCAATACAATATCAGGCTCTCAAGCTAATTACACGCACCCAACATGGCACCTCCTACACTTCACTTCAGGCCTTAACAGGAGAAATGCCACTAAGTCTACGCAGGGAACAGCTAAGCTTAAATTTCTGGGCCGCGTCCCAATCAAACCCTCTCATCCAAAACTTAATAAACCAAAATATCAGCCCCATAAACCAAGCTCTAGCTCGTAAACACCCCTTACTTACCCCAATATCCCAAAGAATAACAAACTACCTAAATGAACACCAAATTAAAAATCTTCAACAAAACTGCAAACAATCAAATATCTTCACCCCTAAACTCAAAATACCCAAAATAGACACGACACTAGCTAGCCAAATAAATAAACAAACCGACCCAAACATAGCTAAAACCACCACACTAGCATACATACACGAAAATTGGCCAAATTGGTGTCACATTTACACGGACGGATCCTCAGATCCGACCTCCAAACACACAGGTTTCGGAGTCCATACCACACAACCAACTAAAACCACACAATCCTTCCGACTCCCAAACAACAAATCAATATTCACGGCAGAACTAATGGGCATGGCCTCAGCCCTCCATAATCAAGAATCCAAAAACCACAAAAAAATCCTAATACTTACCGACTCCCTAAGTTGACTGCAAGCCCTCCAAAACAAAAATACCCAAAACCGACCTAAATTAATAAATCAAATACTTAAAAGCTCCAACGACCTAACTAACGCAGGCAAACAAATAACCTTCTTGTGGATACCCGCCCACGTAGGAATATACGGTAATGAAAACGCCGATAAGGCAGCCAAACTATCCCTCAAAATCCCAGAAATAAGCTTAAACTTACCCATCTCAAAATCAGAAATTAAAAGCGTAAACAAGCAAAAAATCACCAAAAAATGGCATAACCTATATCCAAACTCAAATAGCCAAATCAAAAAAGTACTCAGCAAACCACTAACCAAACCAAAAATTCTCCATCCATCCAAAAAATCGACAGAGTAATCACTAAACTCCAAACAGGACACACCAACCTAAATAACCACCTAAAAAAATAAAAAAACACACTACAGGTAACTGCCCACACTGCAAACAACTAGAAACCCCAGAACACGCACTCATCCACTGCACACATTACCTAACACATCGAACCACATTACAAACCACCCTCAATCTAAACAAGGCTCTCACTCTAGAAGCAATACTAAACCCACAAAATAAACTAGAAAACTTCAAGGCCTTAGGCGTATTCTTAATCAAAACGGAACTAATAAAACGCATCTAAAAACACTATAATCTACCAAATCAAAATCACATAAACAAACAAACATCCACCATACCCAGCTCCCTTAGTTCTACTCCCCAACCCCATCGGCATCTATTCCAAATCTCAAAATTCCCAAATTCTATATAAGCAACCCCTAAAGCCCCCTCTTGGGTTGCACACACCACTTTCGCCCCTTTCGGAAACACATTAAATGGCCTGGCCGGGCCCGTGTGCCAAATACGCATCAGTCGGAAAGCGCACGTTAAATCTCCAAAGTAAGTAAGTAAGTAACAACGATGATCTGATATCGTTCAAAAACCACCAAATAGCCGATTCCCTTCCACTGACTTACCCACCCCTCTTAGAAACAAAGGAAACCAGTGAGACCGCCTCGTATTTCATGTCTAGATGTATGCCTACACATTCACACTGACATAAAACTCTCCACAAAACCGAATGACAAGAGGGATGACTTCAACTTTCCAACAGTCAACTTCCTCTTCATGTCGAGCGATATTCCTGCAGCGCCAGCCTTCGGTGTCTACATTCACAACTTTTGAGGTACAGTCGAGCATGCTCTCTCTACCAAGGATTGAAAGAGCGTCACATCCACAACTTAAAGGGCAAGTTCACACGGAAATTAACCTTTTTTTCTTGTACTTTTTCCACATTAAAAGTGTTAACCTAGAAGTGTCATAGACATAAATATAAAAATATCACAATTAATTAACATATTTTTCGCATTAAAACGATTTATATTTTTCACATTTACCAAGTGTTCTATTTCCACAACAAAAACACCATGGCTTATGCCCCTTGCAATATGACGTCATTGGTGCCAATTGATAAACATTATGACGTCATCATGCTATGTTAGAGCCGCTTCACGTGGTGTAGGTACAGCTGTGTGATTCTAGCGTCTCAGATGCCAGCCAGCATAGTGTTATGCTGAGTCACCACTGCGCCGGAGTGTGTCGAAGGCCATGTTGTTTTACCGCAAACTGGTACTTGATATCTTTTGCGTTGAGAATAGACAGGGATCCAGTTGAATTGGCACCAATTACGTCATAATCTAAGGGGGATAACTCAGGCCTGTTTAGCTCGAAAAACGAAGGCCTCATAACGGCATATCATTTTCACACTATTGTGAGCTTCCTACTTTCACTGTGAAAAAAATGAGTGTATATTTTCAAACACAGATACTAATTAATTCTAAAATTGCGTTTTGTTTAGAAAAAGAAAGAAAGTGATTTTTGCCTGTACACTTCCCCTTTAAGGACTCAGCAAAGATTTCAAAGCTTGTCATGGTAGACCATAGGAAGTGGAGGCCATTTCCAAACTTAACATGATGTCCGATGCAATTCCCTATTTTTGCTTATTCAATATGTTCCCGTGTCTTTTTTTCAGGTGAACAATAAGCTTTTGTATGTATTATTGACGGATGCCACCGGTGGGACACCTCTTCGCGAACACCTGGTATCATCATTTGTTTGTTTGTTGTTTAACGCCGCACTCAGCAATATTCCAGCTATATGACGGCAGGTATCATCATTATTTTTTTTAATAGTAATTCATAAACACATGCTTATGGTTTAGTCGGAATCTAAAATGGACTCAAATTCTAGCAGAGAGATTACTTATTAATATGGAAAGGTTTTTATCGCATATGCCTATGTAAAATGTTTTGTGTTGCTTTTGTTTTATCACGAATTTTGTGTGTATCATCCTAACTGAGAGTCTAGCGTAGTGCGACATGTATACGGGTGTCATATACACAGATCTCAATACGCATTTATTAAAAATAACACCATTTGACAAGCTCATTACGGGAGAGTCAGAGGGTAAACCAGCACATCACGGGACATGATCATTACGGGAGTCAGAGGGTAAACCAGTCATGTCTCGCCCTGTGGCCTGCCCACGTCAGTATTGTTGGCATATATGCTCTTAACATCAGACAGACAGACATCCGTTGATTTGCAAACACCCTCACACGACAAACATAGCATTTAAAGGAAATGCCTCTTCATTTCTACCATTGATACAGTTAATTACAATAACCATCCCGATTTGTTTTTATCTGGCTGTGCAAACTGTGAGCCGTAATGACTTTAAACCACACGGAAGACGAAACTGTCTTCATGAAGAAGGGAAGCGGACTTACTAGACATGGCATAATTAGACCACCCTTATCATGTTTTCGTCATGGGATGCGAACGTAACGGAGGCGTTACACAAGAATCTGAGAAATAGCAACGAATAAACTTCAGTGCACAGTTGAATCGGGTTTGTGTACAAGATGCAATTCTCAGCGACGTGCTAAACGTGCTACGCAAAGGGTATGTGTTTCCGCCAAATAGGGAACTGAGTTAGTGTCTTACGTGATTCTGGTACTAATTAAACTAATTGTACAAGCCCAGGGCTTAAGGAAGCGAACTGACACACGTGTAAGGATGCAGTAAGATGGGTGTAGCCCCGCCCCGTCCGAGAATAGCGACACACTTCATTTAAATGAAGAATTTACATAAGGCGTGTTTACTAGTGGGTCAGTAGTATATTAAATCGATCGGTCGATTATCGTCCATTCTAAGTACAGCAACTCTTCCTTCCCTTCTCTCCAGTAATACACGCTCTGCAACCATGGTGTCAGCGGTTCTTGGCTTGCTGTTGGGATGTCTGGCAATGTCCAGTGCACAAGTGCCAGAAGAAGATTGTAAGTAGAATTGTATTGAACTTGTCAGGAGGTAAAGTGGGTTGTACTTCGCTTCCAAAAGATTATTGCACTTATAGTGTGTGTGTGTGTGTGTGTGTGTGTGTGCGTGTGTGTGTGTGTGTGTGTGTGTGTGTGTGTGTGTGTGTGTGTGTGTGTGTGTGTGTGTGTGTGTGTGTGTGTGTGTGTGACAAGGTAACACAAAATACCGCCTTTTAACGTATTTTGGTTTGCTCGACCGTGGATCGAACCACCGACCACCCGTTCTCAGGGAGACGCTCTGTCCACTAAGCGTTTCAGTATGAGCGGTTGTTGTGATGGAAGATTTGTCGAAAGGTGGAACTGTCACGTCAATATTCACTTATGGCACTAAAAATACACAGTGGGTTATAGGGGGCACTGGTGGCCCAGGCGTCTAAGGCGCCGCAATTCGCTGTGAAGAGTTACGTCCCTTGGGCACGCCAGAAACCTATGATTGTGGGTTCGAATGTTTCTAGGTTTGTCAGCACCATACCCGTGCTCGTGGGTTTCACCGAAGTGGTAAACGTCTGAGACCTGCATCACTTCGGGCTTTCCTCCCACATTAAGCTGACATGCCGCGATATGACTGGAATTCTCAATTCTGGAATTGACTCAAACAATTTCTGAGCAAGGGTCTTATTAGACTCTTTGAAATCTTGGTGGGAAGAGCATGCTCGACTGTGCCTCAAACGTTTTGAAATGTAGACACAAAAGGCTTGAGCTGCTGGAATATTTCCCGACATAAACTATATCTTTAGCTCAAACGTCTTGGGACAAGTACCCCATGGATCAAGGAATACAGTTTGTCATGTGGCAAAGCGGTGTTTTCAAATGTTTTGACAGAATTAAACTTTTCTGAATAAAATGTCATTATTTGAGGTTTGAGAATCCAATTCCACTACCCAGATATCTTCTGTGAGTATTAACCTAGTCCTTCCTTGATTGTATTAAGGATTATGGTTAATCTTGGAAACATGGCTTCCAGCAGTTGACCCTAACTCGATCCCTACAGTAGCAGACTTCAGATGTAGTACTGCTCTTCTCCACTTAGACACCTGGTAATTAACAATGGTGAAGACGAAGAACTGCAGACAATGGGCCTCTTTAGTTTATGTACTCGTTTTGAGATAATTTTACTTATACGGGTAATACTGTTGAAAAAAACCAGCAAAACTCATCATCTGTTACCCTACAGTAGTGTAAGAAAATACGTGAGTATATTTTGACAATAACGCCACGCGGTGGAACAAGACACAATTCAACGGCAGAGAACACACCTTGTGTTCCTCCCTTATGTGAGAGCACAGTCGTAGAGCTACACATCGTTCACGCCGTGGGGATTCCGGGTAAGAATAGGTCCACAGCCACCCATGTTCTTCCTACAAGGCGACTAAATGAATAAGGTGACTTGGTGCCATGGTTGATAGTGAGTTGACGGCACGGAGGGTTGTTCATAATATCAATCACTTGTTTGCCTGGCCCGGATTCCATTATTTACAGTTCCCCGTCATATGGTTGGAATATGCTAATATCGCAAGGAAGCATAGGTATTACATGGGTTGACTTTACCCGACGTATGTACGCGAATGTCTTGAGAATTCCCTTTACAACAGAAGGTATCAGAACAGCAGGGACCGTGTTGTTTGAACCAGAGTCGACCTCGGTAGTCCCACATGTTGACATCTCCTTCATGTAGCCTACCTGCCATGATCTCGCCATTGACGTATGAAATAATACCGAAAATGGAGGTTGTCATTATTGACAGTGTAGGACCCATTTCGATGTCTGTACATTTATACCGACCTGACTGTGGCGGCACCGACGTTTCCGACTCTATGTGTGTACTAGATAGTATGACTGTTTCACTGTCTTTCAGACTCTATGTGTGTACTAGATAATATGACTGTTTCACTGTCTTTCAGACTCTATGTGTGTACTAGATAATATAACTGTTTCACTGTCTTTCAGACTCTATGTGTGTACTAGATAATATAACTGTTTCACTGTCTTTCAGACTCTATGTGTGTACTAGATAATATGACTGTTTCACTGTCTTTCAGACTCTATGTGTGTACTAGATAATATAACTGTTTCACTGTCTTTCAGACTCTATGTGTGTACTAGATAATATAACTGTTTCACTGTCTTTCCGACTCTATGTGTGTACTAGATAATATGACTGTTTCACTGTCTTTCAGACTCTATGTGTGTACTAGATAATATGACTGTTTCACTGTCTTTCAGACTCTATGTGTGTACTAGATAATATGACTGTTTAACTGTCTTTCAGACTCTATGTGTGTACTAGATAATATGACTGTTTCACTGTCTTTCAGACTCTATGTGTGTACTAGATAATATAACTGTTTCACTGTCTTTCAGACTCTATGTGTGTACTAGATAATATGACTGTTTAACTGTCTTTCAGACTCTATGTGTGTACTAGATAATATGACTGTTTCACTGTCTTTCAGACTCTATGTGTGTACTAGATAATATGACTGTTTAACTGTCTTTCAGACTCTATGTGTGTACTAGATAATATGACTGTTTCACTGTCTTTCAGACGCGGTCCTATGTCAGGATAACTACAACGGTGACTGGAAGTACGTGGCCCCTGGCTCGGGATGCAAGAGGTTCATCAATTGTGGTGGCCAGGATTACCACGGAACGCTCCAGTGCCCCGAGACGACTCTCTTCAATGAAAACACCCAGGATTGTGTATACGCAGCGGATTCCAACTGTCAGGAACCCTTCAACGAAAACCCAGGTAACGAAACATAAGTTTGCGTATTATATTAATTATCTTGTAGCACATGCTAAATAGAGTTGTCATTAATAGAATCTGATTAATTGTTTTATGTATTCAATTAGTGAGTGAGTGAGTGAGTATGGTTTTACGCCGCTTTTAGCAGTATTCCAGCAATTTCACGGCGGGGGACACCAGAAATGGGCTTCACACATTGTATACATGTCTGGAATCGAACCCGGGCGAACGCTTTAACCACTGAGCTACCCGACCGCGTCTGTATTCAATTAACCATTGCCTAGCAACTGGTTATTATTTACAATTCAGATTGGCAATGTACATCCGTTTTGTGAAAAAAGGAATTCGGAGATGTGACTTAATTCCCCGAATGGACAGGAAGTGTTAAGGGACCATGACTGTCTTTTCAAATGGCTGGTTATGTAAAAAGTTGGCGGATGAATAGACTTTTACTTCATGTATTCTATTCAGTTATTTCAGTCATTAATAAACTAGTATGAACATATAATATTTTCGCTAATGACCGTTGAATGAACTACAGCGGACACGGAATACGTTTACAAAACGAAGTAGCTCATCCACCCCTCACTCAACCGAAAGGATAAATTTTAACAGGTTGGGACGATCGTGAATCGAGAATGGAATCAATATGTTGCCATTTTTTAATGATATTTTACATGAATAAAGACATATCCGTTGAGAAACAGTGACGGTAGAAGATATTGTTAGGATGCCAATATGACTTCCTTCAGTTTTAATGTTACTTAGTGTAAGGACTAATTTCAGTAACCTTTAACTTAACAAAACCACATTTTATAATATGTGTTTTCTATTTAACGAAATAACCTGCTAAATTGATAGTATTAGAAGGATTCTGACTACGGTGAAAAGGTCTTATGTTTATAGATAAAGGGACCTACAGTCGATATGGTTACAATTCTGTGATTTCTGTTGAACGCTGTATTGTACGTATGTGTTTGCTTCCAGACTGTGTGACCGGCGTGGATCCCTACAATTGCTCAGCTTTCACCTACTGCCATCTTAACACCCAGTACAACTTCAGCTGCAACCAAGACCTCTACTACTCTCAGAGCAAACTCATCTGTGTGTACGCTGAAGATCTGACGGAGGACGACAAATACCTGTGCGGCTTCTAGACCCCCCGGGGTCAAAGACCCCCATGATTCAATATAAACAATGTATTCTCTGAATTCCAAATAAAGCTCATCAGACAATAAGTTTGTGTCTATACTTTCAAACGTAGAGCTTGTCAAAACTTTATATACTGGTTAATATTGTCTTGAGTGAGTGAGTGGGTTTATGAGCGAGTGAGTGAGTGAATGGGTGAGTTTTGGGTGGGTGGGTGAGTGAGTGAGTGAGTGGGTGGGTGGGTGAGTGGGTGAGTGAGTGAGTGAGTGAGTGAGTGAGTGAGTGAGTGAGTGAGTGACCCTCGGCAGGATGTGAACCTGCAACCCCTTGGTGTGTAGTCCTTCACGATATCACCTGTCCAGGTGCCATATGTGTTGTGTAAGTGCCTGTGAATCTGATATCAATATATATTATACATCTTATCAATATTTGACTTATTACCTTACGATATGCACTTCATTTAAGCAAGTGTAAATTCTAAACGTTAAACTTTAAACGAATTAAACATTTTAACGAAATTCATTGTCATAATCCACGAGTTTAGGTATAAAACGTTTGTGTGCATATAACTATTCAATCATTCTGAGCTGCACGAGCCGAATCTGGTATCCGTGCAACGTTATGTGTATCAAGAGAGTCTGAGTGGTGAGCATCGTCTTTATTCCTATTGAATGTACAATGACTTCGTATGGAATGTATAGAGTGAGAGAGTTATTATGGTTTCAAGCTGAATTTTGTCCCTTTCCAGCAACATGATCACGACGGTGGACACCAAAAGTGGTCTTCACACATTTTGACCGAATTGGGAATCGAACCGGGATTTATGGCATGTAGTCCCTTCTATTCATATAACTAGACAAACTTTAAACATACAAAATTCAACATTAAACATACAAAGTTCAACATTAAACATACAAAGTTCAACATTAAACATACAAAGAGTGGTTCGGTTATTGGTGAATTAATGAAACCAGGTTTTAATATTGGGCATTAATATCACATGATGAAAATATTAATCTGTTTGCAGACATGACTATTTTGCTAGAAATAGTTCATAGTGTTGCCTTATTTAATAACAAGTGTTACTGCTTTTCAAACATGTTGAAATCTGTTTTCTGATACCGATAGAGGTCACATACATTGTAATGAAAACAGGTGCAGTCGTTACAACTCGTCCCTTTCCGTAACCTGCAAGTCGGCTTGTCCCGGACTAACACGAGTTGGTCACGAATGGAACAGGTGGTCTTCAAATGCATGGTTGTGTCGCCACGTGTTCAGTCGAGCGATGCATACCATCACACACCCAACCAGTGTTAGACTTGCGATGTCGCGAGGCGGTAAGCCTCTACTGGTACCAGGCCGTCGGTTCAGGTCTTTTTACTGCGGGCTGTTAACCTCAACATGAGACAGGAAAGTACTGAATTGCTCGGTGTTTTGGACACAGTCGGAATGTGTGAATACATGTCAATGTTTTTCTACATATTACGGAACGGGATAGGTTCATGAAGGTCATTTTTAAGATGTGTTGTTTTTTTCTCATCTCTGTCATGACGATTTGAGGCGACCGTGAATCCCTCAGGTTTATCACGTTATGAACAGCTATCCTGGTTCCTGTTGCGTCTACCGTTGTTTCAAACCTATGGCATCTGAAAATGTCTGCTATTAGCTTCGTTTGGACCTTCGACATTTGAAAATGTCTTTTACGTACCTATGTTTGGAAAAAGCATCCTGCTGTTGAAAATCTATAATACCTCCTTTCTAAATACCATTTAATGATAAACTTTACCTTATTTTATATACATTGTGGATGTATCATCAACATTCATATCCACAGAATCATTCAGGTTCATACATTCAGGTTCAGATACCCGGGGTGGCCTCTTCCTGTACCTTCTCCTCCTGTCCGTATCGGCTTTTCTATCCCCACCCCACCCCACATTCTCATCCTCTCTGTCTCTGTGTCCCCCCCCCCCCCCCCCCCCCCCCCGCCACTTCCACTTTCATCTTTCCCTCTCTCACTATAATGTCCAACCATATACGTTCCGTTTATCCCATAAGCTCGACAAATAAGCTTCGCTACATGACGTTCACGCAGAGCGTGAACAAACAACTTAAAACACTTGTATATGTTTTTTCAAGATGCAGCATACTTTAGACAAAGACATTTCGAAGTCACATTCTCATAAGTAGTCATTTACAAAAGGGGAGTGCACCTGTTCCACGTGCCCCTATAATAAAGAGGTCTCACAGCATTTCGGCAGTTCTGCTTTTGGAGTTTTCACATCTACACGTCAAACCGATTCCTCGCCTTTTTAAACAACAGGTTTTATACAAGATGTTGACGTTCTCTAGTATCGGTATTGCTCTTCTGGGACTTGTCTTCACTGTAGACGGACAAACAGGTAAGTGATTCTTCACCTGGACTTCTGTAAACTGCCAGCGTAACATCAGCCTGTTGACGTTGCCTTAACGCCACACCGACGTCAGTGTTAAATGGTTGTAGATAGAGATGCGCTAGTTTGTTGAACAGACTCGTTGTCTTAATGTGTTGAACCAAGGCATCAAAACAGACTTCCTTTGTTCGGTGTCGCGTAAAAGGTAACAGTCAATGTGAACGTTAGCATGATTGAGAGATCCTGGTTAACACTAAACTTCGACGTGGGTAAAACTTGACGATCAATTATTGATACTTAACTTAACTTTATATTATCACTAATTGATAATGAATCTACAACGACACGCCATATTAGCAGTTATTGATACTGCATCTATAATTAGATATCATATTAGTAGTTATCGATACTGCATCTATAATTATATATCATATTAGTAGTTATCGATACTGCATCTATAATTAGATATCATATTAGTAGTTATCGATACTGCATCTATAATTAGATATCATATTAGTAGTTATTGATACTGCATCTATAATTAGATATCATATTAGTAGTTATCGATACTGCATCTATAATTAGATATCATATTAGTAGTTATTGATACTGCATCTACAGTTCAGAAACATATTAGCAGTTATCGATACTGCATCTATAATTATATATCATATTAGTAGTTATTGATACTGCATCTTTAATTATATATCATGTAAGCAGTAATTGATACTGCATCTGCAATTAAGTACCATATTATCAATAGTTGACACTCCATCTTTGAATTAAACACAATATTATCGGTTGTTGATACTGAAATAGTGACGTTATAATGTTTTGTTCTTATGCAATGTTGTTCAGTCACATAGTTTCTTCAGAGACCATCATACAAAAATGTTCAGTCACAATAGTTTCTTCAGAGGCCGCCATAATAAATTGTTCAGTCACAATAGTTTCTTCAGAAACCATCATACAAAACTGTTCAGTCACAATAGTTTCTTCAGAGACCATTAAACAATCTTGTTCAGCCACAATAGTTTCTTAAGAGACCATCATACATAATCGTTCATTCAAAATAGTTTCTTCAGAGACCATCATGCTAAATGGCTTAGTCACAATATAGTTTCTTCAGAGTTCGTCATACTAAATTTTCAATCACAATAGTTCCTTTAGAGACCGTAATACTAAATTGTTCAATCACAAAAGTTTCTTCAGAGACCGTAATACTAAATTGTTCAGTCACAATAGTTTCTTCAGAGACCGTCATACTAAATTTTCAGTCACAATAGTTCCTTTAGAGACCGTAATACTAAATTGTTCACTCACAATAGTTTCTTCAGAGACCATCATACAAAATTGTTCAGTCAAAAAAAGTTCTTCAGAGACCGTAATACTAAATTGTTCAGTCACAATAGTTTCTTCAGAGACCGTCATACTAAATTTTCAGTCACAATAGTTCCTTTAGAGACCGTAATACTAAATTGTTCACTCACAATAGTTTCTTCAGAGACCATCATACAAAATTGTTCAGTCAAAAAAAGTTCTTCAGAGACCGTAATACTAAATTTCTAGTCACAATAGTTCCTTTAGAGACCGTCATACTAAATTGTCACTCACAATAGTTTCTTTAGAGACCATAATACTAAATTGTTCACTCACAATAGTTTCTTCAGAGACCGTAATACTAAATTGTTCAGTCACAATAGTTTCTTCAGAGACCGTCATACTAAATTTTCAGTCACAATAGTTCCTTTAGAGACCGTAATACTAAATTGTTCACTCACAATAGTTTCTTCAGAGACCGTAATACTAAATTGTTCAGTCACAATAGTTTCTTCAGAGACCGTCATACTAAATTTTCAGTCACAATAGTTCCTTTAGAGACCGTAATACTAAATTGTTCAGTCACAATAGTTTCTTCAGAGACCGTAATACTAAATTTTCAGTCACAATATTTTCTTCAGAGACCGTCATACTAAATGGTTCAGTCACAATATTTTCTTCAGAGGCCGTCATACTAAATAATAGTTAATTTAGGTTGAGCCGTAATACTTTCTTAAGTATTGGTTAGATAGCGGGGCGCCGTGGACTCTAGATTATACCCAATGGACCAAATGTTCTAACCTGTTTAAATCATGGCCAACATTCAAAGTACCTTGGCACTAGTCAGCCCTAATGGTTGTGTGGAGTAAGCCCTAATGGTTGTGTAGAGTCAGGCAGAATGATTCCGTAGAGTCAGTCCTAATGGTTGTGTGGAGTCAGCCCTAATGGTGTGTAGAGTCAGGCAGAATGATTCTGTAGAGTCAGTCCTAATGGTTGTGTAGAGTCAGCCAGAGTGATTCTGTAGAGTCAGTCCTAATGGTTGTGTAGAGTCAGGCAGAATGATTCTGTAGAGTCAGTCTTAATGGTTGTGTAGAGTCAGCCAGAGTGATTCTGTAGAGTCAGTCCCCATGGTTATGTAGAGTCAGTTAGAATGATTCTGTAGATTCAATCCACATGGTTGTGTAGAGTCAGTTAGAATGATTCTGTAGAGTCAGTCATATGGTTGTGTAGAGTCAGTTAAAATGATTCTGTAGATTCAATCCTAATGGTTGTGTAGAATCAGTCAGAATAGTTCTGTCGGGTCAGTCAGAATGTTTCTTTAAAGTCACTCGTAGATGAGGGTAAGTCATCAGTGACTTCTTCACTTGTAAGCAACAGCTGCTACATCTCATCGTGTTTGTTGCAGTGGCACCGGATCCCCGGTGTGATGCGTTCCGGGATGGCATAGGAAACATCATGGTCGAAGGCATGGATTGCAGATACTACCTCTCGTGCTGGAACTTCATCATCGCTTACGAACCCATGCACTGTGCTGGCGGGACGATCTTCAACCCAGACACTGGCATGTGTGATGCGGAGGAATGCAACGAAGGAAACACTCGATCTCAATACGGTAAGTGATCAATTACTGATACCTCTTGGTCACAACTACCACTGTAACTACACATATCACAACTATTATCAACAGCATCATAACGACATCTAGTTACACTGGAACAACATAACTGCTACTGCAACAGCTACACAACTTATACCAGGAGTACTCTGACAGCCGTACTGACCACCCGGCAATAATGACATCGATACGACCTCATACGGGTACCCATACTGCTGTTTTTACCACTGACTGACTACCGCCTGTAGTACAGTAACGTTATTTAATTAATTAAATACAACATAAATGATGTCAACATATGGTTAGGTCAGATAGATATCCCTTGGGGGACCCGGGTTAGAAAAGGTATCCTTAACGATTGATTATCGTTCTCCGATGGTGTTCATTATATCAATCACTGGTTTGTAGGCCAAAACTCGATTATTTTCATGCTGCTGGAATGAGTCGGAATATTACTGACAGAGCATAAAAGAGTACTCGCTGCCGACATATATATGATGAAGCCGTTTTTATACAAATGTACTGTAAATACTACACGGAAAAGTCAAAAGGTTTCATTCTATATTTTGAACAGCGTGTCAAGAGGGTGCTCTACCGGGTGACTGTTCCCGCTACAACTTGTGTTTCAACACTCCCAATGTCACCTTCCAATGTGGCGAGCAAACCTACTACCACAACGAAATGCTCGTGTGCGTAAATCCCAGCGAATACCCGGACTTGCCAGAAGAACAGGGATGTGCCTACAACCCCTAGTCACAGCATCCACAACAACTGCAGCATCTACATCTACCACAACTGCAGCATCTACATCTTCAACAACTGCAGCACTTTTTGCTTATGACAAATGTTTCTGAGGACAGTCCTTTAAGATGGGGTGGACAAAGAATTGTAATTTGTTTTTAGACAAAGAGCAATACAGTTTTCATAACACCATAACATTATCTTACATTTGAACAATAAAATTAAAAGAAATATTTAATTATTTCCTATTTTGTCTAACTTTACACCAAAAATAGTCTTTTAATTTCTTACCGTGTCTGGCATCCGAACTGCATACCGCATTCAGTGATAGATTCGGATGGTATCTTCCAGCATGTGGCGATTCACCAGTCTCAAATACTGGAGCAAATACAACACTATGAAAGAGTAAATAAAAGCGACGAAACCCTTTCCATAATCCTAAGACATCTCCGTCCATTGTACTGATTCCTTCTATATTATGCGACTAGCGCCTCATACAAAGCATTGAGAAACACCAACCTTACAAACAAATTGTATTCAAAATACAATAAAAAAAACGACAAAACCATTTCGATAATCATTTAAAATCTCTGCTAAAGGCAGATTCCAGTATACATTTCCGAGTATATCATAAGCATGTGTTTCTGAATCACTAAGCAAATAGCGATGAATAGCAAATATTGTTAACGAAAAAGGTGTCAAATTTGGAAATGTTCTCAACGTGTCTACACTTCTTTTTAATGAAATATGTGTGAGTGGTGGGCGATGCCGGTAGAGCAGGACATTTCTACACTTCTGACTCTGAATTATCATGCAAAGATTTAAATATGAAACAGATGAGTTAGGTACCGTGCCCCACCAGTGCCACCCGTTACAAACACATGCAAAGGCAAGACAAGTTTTTACGTGAACATATGGCACTAGTCCAATTAGGGCAAGGACAGCATATAAATAGCACAGCACAACGTCATTGCCAGAATCCTAACGTGACAAACAGTTCTTGCCATCATTCATCCATGTCACGAGAGACGGTGGCAAAACTAAACTATAAGGAGTTGAGTACCCCCCATCCTATCCCATCCCATCGGTGCTCCTATTGTCCTGGCTATTCATCTGACTAATGAAATGAGAATAACGTATTTAGCGAAGCTGGAGTTAACGGTACAAAGAGACTCGAATGCCTGTTAACCCATCCAATAGCAGCGTTGGTTATTCGTGTTTTTGTCACAGGGCCGTATCATCCGACTTTCTATGACCTTAAAACTTCAGACGTAAATCAACGATGTTCATAAACATAGCTAATGTGACCTTTCTTTGACCTCAAGTTGCCCTTTTCTCTATTATCAGGATAAAAAGATTGTTATTTTGCCTACAATGTGTACGGGGGAGTTCGGGTGTGAGGAGAGGGGTGTGTGATATTTGTCTCGGTGGCAAGTGGCCTTTAGTTCTTTAGGACCAACACAGAGGGGGAAAGACTGGACACACATCAACTGGGGGATGAACATCCATATTATGTATTTGGAAACTGTGTGGTACAAAGTGCAGTCAGAACGTTTTTCTGTGAAACTGTGAAAAGGAATGATTCAAAAATCTAAATGGAGGGATTAAAAGGAGACATTTACAAAACATTCCGAGTAAGCAGGACATGCTAATTCTTTTCGCGAACACCTGGTGTCATAACTAATTTTCAGTCATCTTTCATATGTTTCCCCCACTATTTTGCATTTTACTTCTGTTTCGGTGAGGTAAGGAGAGGTGAAATTGGGTTTAACGTCGCGTCCAAGATTATTGCATTTATATGGCGACGTGCATGTATGTGTGTGGCTGCTTGTAGTCCGGACTGATGCCGATTTATAGTGCCAGCTCACTGAGATACCATGCCGCAGTTTAACATGAATACCCCACTCAGACACAGTATACTGACTCCGAGCCGACCAGTCCTTGTCTTAGCCCCTTAATGCAGAGCGCCAGACAGGGTAACAACAAGTACCATCTTTTAACGTCTTTTGGTATGACGCGGCCGGGGATCGAGCCCCGGACCTTCCGCTCTCCGGGCGGACGCTCTACCACTAGACCACGGAGGCGGTCCTCTGTTTCGGCCGATAACTTTGACTGATTATTCTCAAGCGTTGATACTGTATATTTAATGAAAGCGACAAAGCCCTTTTCATATTAATAAGACATATCTGAGTCGATTGCACGATCATCGCTAAACAAAATCATCGGTTGTAAGATCATCGAAAAAAAAATAGAATAGAATTTTTTATTGTCATCCCGATAAAAACGCATTGTTTGGTAACAGTTTGGCTATGAAATTAGAACGTTATGACGTAGTGCAATTGTGGAATGCTGATGACGTGACGTGACAGTGACACCAGACGTACCTGTGGGAATGTGCGTCTATTGCATCCCGACTTGACCTTTGATCCTGGGCAGGCAAAGTGGGAACCAGATGCAGCACAACGACACCCCGTTAATTATTATTAGGGACGGTGACGTTCCCATTGAACTCGTCCACATAGACACATTTCCGAATTAAGGAATTTTGGGTGCTCGGCCCCGTTTCGCAAAGCGATCCTAGTCTGTGTTAAACTGTGGGAGTTAAGATCATCTTAGCACTACTATCACATTGTTGAACGGGGCCCAGAGCTCTTGTACACATGTGACCATCAGTAGACATCCAGAACACGGGGCCATACTAGTTCCCTGGATACCACTGTGCTTGCTGTACACACCAGAAACACAAACATATAGCCAAACACAAATCGTATTCCGGAAAAGGGGGCACAGTCGTATCAACCTAAAAATTGAGCCGGGTTCGAATCCAAGATCGCCGTGATTATGACACCTGTTTGCCAGCACCATAGCCCTGCTCATGGGTTTCACGATGTCTGTAACGTCTGTAAACGTCTGTAAACGTCTATTACCTGCATGACTTCGGATTGTCCTCCCACATTACCCTGACAATTCGTTAGATAATCTTCTCAGCAGAGTTCAACTCACTCACTCATTTCGGCAAACTATGTCTTTTGTGCCAGGTTCAAATTAGCGTCCATGACCAATATACTCGATATTCTAACCTAACCAGACTCCAAACTAAGTGGACGACATGGAAAGGGCTGCGCTAACACATTAAGCCGACAATCAAGTGACATACGTAAAGCACCTTTTCAAAGCGGCGTTAAACCGAAATCCCCCACTTTGAAAAATGGTGACATCAAAATGAGTGGTTAATTTATCTCTGGCCTACCATTTTAACAAAACAATGACCATTGTACTTTGTGTAATACCTGTCCGTAATTGTTTGGGGTTGGAGACAAATATATGACTTTGTGAAGGAGTGCCCCCTCAGTGGTTCGTTCTAACATCTTCAGTGAGCGAGTTTTGTGTTGGGTTTTATGCCGCTTTCTAGCAATATTCAAGCCATACCACGGCTTGTACAATACTTACGAGGGGCATTCAATAAGTTTTGCAACTTCAATATAAGACCAAGTCGCAGGATATCTTTAGCACTTTTATTGTTCAATATAATCTCCATACATCTCAATACACTTATTCCATTATATACCACTTTTATAGAAACGCGCAGATTGGCCACGCCTCTGTGGCAGCCTGTATGTCCTCGTCATCCTGGAAGTGTCTTCCACGTAGGGCAGATTTCATTTGCTGGAACAGGACATAGTCACTGGGGGCTACGTCTGGGCTGTAGGATGGGTGATTTAACTGTTCGAACGTGTGGGGAATCGAACCTGGGTCTTCGGCGAAACGAGCGAACGCTTAAACCACTAGGCTACCCGACCGCCCCTGCACAACTATGGAAATATCCTGTGCCGACCAAGCACCACTATAACTGTAGCCGCCAAGTTTGACGCATTAGTGACAAAGCTGATATCCGATGCGGTCCATATTTTGACTTATGTTCCTGTGTTTGTTTAGGTTAGAATTGACTTGCCTTTGCATGTGTTTGTGACGGGGAGCATACCCTCACCTTATCGTGAAAACCTGGTGTCATCACGATTTTATAATGATTCATAAACACTTGCTCATGATATAGTCGCAATTGTACAATAGACTCTGTGTTTGGCAGATATTTCTTATGAATATGGAAAGGATTTTGTCTCATTCATTTAGGAGTATATAATGCTAACAAGCTAAAATATTCTTAAGACAATTATCGTACGATAACAAGTGCATTTCTTAATTTGGATAGTAAAATATACCCGGCGTTGCCCAAACACAACCGCGTCTTCTGTAAATCATTAAACTTATTTAAAATGTCACATACGCTATAACATCTAGTGGTGGAGGTGAAATGGGACTAAACATTACTTCGTCGACAATGTGACTCGCTTGCAGGGTTGTGTGTGGCTGCAAATATGAGTGCGACTTATCCGGTTTTATAGTGCTAGCCCACTGAGAAATTAGTTTTATACCCTTAATACCGAGTACCAGGCAGGGTAACAACAAGTCCAAACTTTTAACGTCTTTTGGCAATAAACGGCCGTGGATGAACACAACATTTATTAAAAAGGTTACGCGATTTCGGTAATATGCGGGCGATGAATAAAACATCTTGGATGTTGAAAGTTAAAACATGTTTTTCCTCGAAAAGTTTGATGGCATATCATCAGCCATGAAGTGGGGCTACTCGACATCTGAATTTAAGCTTGGACTTTTCTATACATTATAACGGAATGGCCAAAGACTGGCCGATAATTACTCGTGGATAAACTACTAATATAAATGGACGCTGCACCAGCCACAATATGTGACACAATAAATACCAGAGCTTGGAGACGACGTTTAGCGAAAATATATCACAAGGATCTACAAAGTTATGAATGTCGAAACAGAATGATCACACAACAAGAAGGTAAAGTTCAATAACTTGTTTATTAATTAATAACTGAACTGAAAAATCTTGTACATTAGCTCGAGGTCTCGAGACACTGTACCGACTGTCAACTGAACTGGAAACATCAGTCGCTCGGCATTGTCTGTGACATAGTGACTCTGTATCCCACGATTGATATATCTGAACAATTAAAGTGTACAATAAACTTTGAAACTTGAAATTGTACGAACTTTGCTGCAACCGGAACTGGATCCATCTAATGTAAACAATACATTCCGGAAGTCACGTGACCCAGAATGAATGACAATGAGGCCACACCTCCAAGGGCTGTCAAAATGCGATGTAGGTCAAATCCCAGTTAAAGCTTGGAATTAAATATAATATAATTATTTAATTTCTATATTATAGGATCGATTCTAAACATCGGTAGCTGAAACCCCATGACTGTCACGGCATCACCGCGCATCTTGATAACGTAAACAATCCCGTCGGAATGACCTCGGAGCCCCCGGTCGCGATGGCATTCGACGACAGTCAAAACATCTATTTATAGACTGTAAACTGTAATATTTTATACGGATGACACATCACTTGCGACTTGTGATGACAACAACTCTAACTTGTATGCTTGAATAATTACGATCTTGGAATATTCCGTCGGAATGAATCCGGAATGGCTGTCGGAATCTCGAAACGTCCGGACGTCAACAAGACGTCATAAGGTAAATAGTCACCAATCCACGATCAAATTCAGACCAAGTATCAATATTAGGCATATAAATTAAAAGTGATACAATAAAAATCTCTTGAAATGCGATAAATAGAACTTAGCGGTGACGAAACCCTGGAACCCTACCTTGCTTGTCAAAGACAGAACTGCCGCCGCCGAAGTTAACCTTGAAGGTCTATTTATTGGTGGCCTAAACCCACATGATACGCAAACGTGACGTCAGAAAATCCAAGATAGCGACTGTAAGCATGACTAACGCGACTCAAGTTGGAATTTACCGTTATACTTGACTCTGTAACTTGGTAAAACACTGCATAAAGGTATGTCATCCTAATAACATACAGCATGATGCTGGTACCATGATTGAAATTAGTGTGATGGCTGGGAGTTGCCCCACCGTCATAAAAGGCTGTAAGTGCGAACATTGAAGTACCTATTACCTTGATATAACAGGAGTTTTGTTACAATATGTAATCTATAACGCATCAATAGACGCATCTTCAATCGACAACTACAAATGCATCATAGTCCATCTTCGTAACAATAATCCAACAGAAATGATCTCAGTATAACTCAGTTTCAATATATCCAGCAACCCTTTCAGTTCGTGAGTGATCATCATTTAAACAGGCATCGAATAAACGCATGGGCCACCTTAGCACGTTTGGGTTATTTTGTCAATTTTGATACGGAAGTTTTCAATCCTCTTCGGGGCGGTGGGGTAGCCTAGTGGTAAAAGCGTTGCTCGTCAAGCCGAAGACACAGGTTTGTTTTCCCTAATGGGTACAATGTGTGAAGACAATTTCTGATGCCACCCGCCGTGATATTGCTGGAATATTGCTTAAAAACGGCGTAAAACCATACTCACTCACTCACTCAACGTCTTCCGAACACAAGTAGTTGATAATTACACAACCCCTTGCCAAGACATAAGGATTCAAAATATGCATCTTCGACACAGGTTCCAGGAAGCAACTCTCACAGCTCGTACCATCCCCAATTGGGCGTATCTGCGAGGACAATCCAACGACATCTACGCATCAACGGTTTCCGTCCGAGGCGCCCAGCCAGTTGAACTAACCTGTCCGCAGAACAGCAGCCCCGACGTCTTCAGTACCTCGGTGGAGAAAGGTCACTGATGAGTCAGGTTGTCTTATAAATGTCAATATGTTACACTGACATGCAAGATCCCCTGACCTGTCTCAAGCTGAACATGTGATATGACTCCAATCTCTCTCTCTTTCTCTTTTTCTCTCTCTTTCACTCTCTCTCTCTTTCTTTCTCTCTCTCTCGCTCTCTTACTCTCTCTCTCTTTCTTTCTCTCTTTCTTTTCTCTCTCTCTCTCTCTCTCTCTCTCTCTCTCTCTCTCTCTCTCTCTCTCTCTCTCTGTCTCTCTGTGTCCCTAATACTCTGTATTTCCTCTGCCCCCTCCATCCCTGTCCCCCCGTTCTATCTCCACCGTGCATGTCTTATTATCAAACAACATCCAGGGTATACCCAAACCCTTCCATGTGACCTATACACGTCTCCATAAATACACTGCACCCAGTATCCTTCTTTCACTTTGATATTTATCTCGTTGTAATCCTCTACAAAACTATTTTTTATTCGGTTCAACATTTGCTTCGATTGTCTTGCCATTTCTGATGACGTTGCAGAAGAATGTCACCGTGTGTGAAATGGTTCCACAATCTACATTCCGATCATCCCATAAACTCGACAAATATGCATTGCTACAAGTCGTCGACAAACAACATGATCAAACAACTTAAAAGACTTGTATATTTTTCTACAAGATGCAGCATACTTCAGACAAAAGACATTTCGAAGTCACATTTTCACAATTTACATAAGGGGAGTGCACCTGTTCCACGTGCTCCTATAATAAAGAGGTCTCACAGCATTTCGGCAGTTCTGCTTTTGGAGTTTTCACATCTACACGTCAAACCGATTCGTCGCCTTTTTAAACAACAGAGTTTATACAAGATGTTGAAATTCTCTGGTATCGGTATTGCTCTTCTGGGACTTGTCCTCGCTATTGACGGACACAAAGGTAAGTGATTCTTCACCTGGAGTTATGTAAACTGTCAACGTAACATCAGCCTGTTGACGTTGCCTTAACGCTCAACGACGCCATTGTTAAACGGTTGTAGACAGAGATGCGTTACCTTGTTAAACAGACGAGTTGTCGTTATGCGTTGAACCTATGCATCAAGGCACACTTCCTTTGTTCAGTGTTGCGTAAAAGGTAACACGTTAGCATGATTGAGGAATCAAGGTGGGTAAAACTTGACTATCAATAACTGATACTGCGGTTGTGAAACATTTCTAAATTAACATCACATTATCAAGTACTGATACTGCAGTAGTGAGGCGTCCATGAATTAAACACCATATTTTCAGTTACTGATTCTTCAGAGACCACCATGTAAACTAAATTATAGATTGAATCATAATAGTTTTTTTAATTTTCAGTCGTGAGTAAAGGTTAGAGGGAGGAGGGCTGATGATGCCAATGCAGGGTACGCATGCTCTCACCTGTTTAAACAATGGCGAACATTCAAAGAACCTTAGCACCTAAAATGTTCAAACAGAATTGTCATGTTAACCTTATTTTAAAAGATATCGTCACTGTGTGATGCACGTGAAATATGTTCCCTGTGCCTGTGGCATCTTCCCGAGGCAAGGGAGTTAACTGACTTTTAAAGTCCAGTTTCCACCCTTGCCGAACTAGGCTGGAATTACTGGGCTCGATCGCTGCACCACCAGTGGCTATTACCAATTATGTCCCTTTTAAGCCTCTCCTATGGACCAATCAGATTCCACCTCTCGTATCACTTGCGTTTGCTTCACACAAAATGGTGGCGCCCAGTCAGGACGATCTGATCGATAATCAAGATCTATATTGTGATAAAACGGGTCTTACATCGCGAAATGCATCAAATCAAGTGAGCACCTTGATTAAAAACATGAAAGGATTTGGAAAATATCTGCTGACAACGAATTTGCGATGCACATGCTTTGCAAACCCTGCAATCGATCGAAATCTGCACGACAGTTTACGAACCGGATTTTGATTTCGGTGCGCGATTTTGTTTGGACTATGCATAGACTCGTTAGTCAAGACAAAACGTAACTCCATAATACCAGCCTAGTTCGGCAAGGGTGGAAACTGGACTTGTATAGTCAGTTAACTCCGTTGCCTCGGGAAGATGTGCCTGTCGCAGCTCGAGTGATGAAATGCACGTCCCAGGGCAAATATGCAATTTATACATGCGATTAGGCTCCAACTCCTGTTGTTCCTACCTATACTTAGGACCCTACTTAGTGAGCCCATACCGGGTAAATAGAGCCAGTCATTATGTTCAATAGAGTCCGTTCATATGGTTCATAAGGGCCCCTCGGTGTGGTTCTGTAGATGCATCCCTAATTGGTTTTTTTTGACGACAGTCCTGGTGTTTCTGAGTCAGTCCTAATGGTTATGTAGAGTCAGTCCTAATGGTTGTGTGGAGTCAATCCTTATGGTTGTGTAGAATCAGTCATATGGTTGTGTAGAGTCAGTCCTAATAGTTGTGTAGAGTCAGTCCTTATGGTTGTGTAGAATCAGTCATATGGTTGTGTATAGTCAGTACTAATGGTTGTGTGGAGTCAGTCCTAATGGTTGTGTAGATTCGGCCCTAATGGTTGTGTAGAGTCAGTCCTAATGATTGTGTAGAGTCAGTCCTAATGGTTGTGTAGAGTCAGTCCTAATGGTTGTCTAGAGTCAGTCAGAATAGTTCTGTGCATAGAATGTGTTTTTGAAGTCACTCGCAATAGTTGTGTAGAGTCAGTCTTAATGGTTGTCTAGAGTCAGTCAGAATAGTTCTGTGCATAGAATGTGTTTTTTAAGTCACTCGCAATGGTTGTGTAGAGGCAGTCATAGATGAGGGTAAGTCATCAGTGAAGTCTACATCTGATCCTGTTTGTTGCAGTGGCACCGGATCGCCGGTGTGATGTGTTCCGGGATGGCACAGGGAACATCATGGTCGAAGGCATGGGGTGTAGATACTACCTCTCGTGCTGGAACTTCATCATCGCTTACGAACCAATGCCCTGTGCTGGGGGCTCCATCTTCAATCCAGACACTGGCAGGTGTGATGCGGTGGAATGCATCGATATAACCATTCCGTCTCAATATGGTTAGTGCTCAACTATTGTTACCTCTTGGTCACAACTACCACTGTTACTACACATATCACAACTATTATCAACAGCATTATAACGACATCCAGTTACACTGGAACAACAGAACCACTGCTACAGCAACAACTAAACTACTTGTACTAGTCGTCTAGTCGTCTAAGGAGCCGCGATTTGCCGCGCACAGTTGCAGAGTTGTGTTTCTAGGTTTGTCAGCACCATACCCGTGCTATGTTTCACCGGAGTGGTAAACGTCCGAGACCTGCATTCGGGCTTTCCTCCCACATTAAGCTGACACGCTGCGATATAACTGGAAGACTGTTAAAAGCGGCGTTAAACCCAACTCACTCACTCACTCATTGTCTTGTTTGGCAACTACGTTCATGACACAGATTTAAGGTGAAATATTTATTGAGCATTAACAACATCGGTCACATATGTGCAGGCCGACATTATAACATTCTAATTTACTGTAAAAGCTACGCGAAGACGTTCAGGTCACATCATACTCTTTTTTTAACAGACTGTCAACCGGGTTCTCTGGCGGAAGATTGTAGCCGCTACAACATCTGTTTCAACACGTTCCATATCTCATACACTTTCCAATGTGGCGAGGAAACCTACTACCACAACGAACTACTCGTGTGCGTCAATCCCAAAGAGTACCCTGCTGTGCCACGGAGCCAGGGATGCGTCTACAACCCCTAGTAACCGCAGCCACGACAACTGCAGCACCTACATCTACAACTCCTAGTAGCCACAGCCACGACAACTGCAGCACCTACATCTACAACTCCTAGTAACCGCAGCCACGACAACTGCAGCACCTACATCTACAACTCCTAGTAACCACAGCCACGACAACTGCAGCACCTACATCTACAACCCCTAGTAACCACAGCCACGACAACTGCAGCACCTATATCTACAACTCCTAGTAACCACAGCCAAAACTGCAGCAACTACATCTACAACAACAGCAGCACCTATATCTACAACAACTGCAGCACCTACATCTACTGTGCTAGTAACTATCTTGTTGCTCATGACCAGTGTTTATGAGGACGATCATTCAAGGTTGGGGTAGATATAGTACTGCATGTATTACTTATTGAAACATAACAATAACGCTTCATAAACGCATTAAAATGATGCTACAAATAAACAATAAGATTAAAAGAAATATATATTTATTTACTATTTTGTCTGTCTTTTCATCCAAAATAGTTTTTCAATTTCCAACCATGCCTTCTGTTGTCTTGAATGTTGTAACCTTTACGGGGGCGGTCGGGTAGCCTAGTGGTTAAAGTGTTCGCTCGTCACGCCGAAGACCCGGGTTCGATTCCCGACATGGGTACAATGTGTGAAGCCCATTTCTGGTGTCCCCCGCCGTGATATTGCTGGAATATTGCTTAAAGCGGCGTAAAACCTTACTCACTCACTCACTCACTCACTGTAACCTTTATGATACAACTTTTGAGCCGTAAGACGCTCTTTGTAATCTTGGTAGAAAGAGCATGGTCTATTGTAACTCAAAAGTTGGAAAATGTAGACATCAAAGGCTGGAGTTGCTGGAATATTGCTCGACATAATGGAAAGATGACGCCACCTCTCTTGTCATATAGTGTTGTGGATAATAATTGTAGATCTAAATATGAATCAGATGAGTCAGTTTCACTTGTCTCATATTTCTAGCTCAGGTGGGTCAATGAGTGGAAGGGAATTGTATATTTGATAATTATTGAGCACATCAGTTTAAGGTCTACCTGAAGCTGAAGTTAACTACTTGACCACATTCCCTTGTTTCCATTTTGCTAATCTGTCAAAAGGTTCTGACTCGTATGCACAATCAAAAAGCGACAAAAACATTTCCATACTAGTCAGGGTACGAACATCTGTATTGTGTGTCACAAAATCTAAATTGTGTATTAACATCCACCAACAGCCTTCACAATCGAACTCATAAGAATCTTCTAACAAACGATATTTCCATCAGTAAACATTGAAAACTGAACTTTTATATCCATATTGACATTTAAATGTACTAAAAACAACAACTACTGTCAAAATGCTGAATTCATTCTGAATATATAGTGTGAGTGAATATTGTTTTACGCTGTTTTTAGCCATTCCCCAGCAATGACACGACGGAAGACATAGAAAAGGTCTTCACTCAATTTGCACTAGTTTGGAATCGAACCCGGATGTGGAGCAGACGCATTGTCTATCACACCGCATTTAATATAACTTGACAAACATTAAACATAAAAAGAGAGTGCTTCCGTTATCAGTTAATTCAATTTGTAGGCATTAGCATCACAGCATAGAAATATGTATCTTTTAAAAGTATGGATATTTTGCTGGAAACGGTAGGTGGTGTTTTGTTATTAATGAACTAGTATTACTGTTCTTCACCCGCGTTGAAACCTGTTTCCTGATACCGATAGAGGTCACATACGTTGTAATGAGAACAGGTGGTCTTCTAATGCATGGTTGTGTCGCCACGTGTCCAGTCCAGCGATACTGTCACACAAAGCCACACGTAAGACTTGCAATGTCGCGAGGCGGCAAGTCTCTGCTAGTCCTGCACCATGACTGTGGAATATATTTATTTTATGGAAAATAATAATCTAGAAACGCATACAAAAGCAAGTCTAGCCAGCTCTAGCTAGCAAATCAGCATAGGGAGATTTTTTAAGAGTCGAGAAGGATATTGTGTAATATAAGATTTCATTGACTAAATGTTAGTCTAAGTCTCCGCTTGTTCCAGAGGTTCAGGGCCCCGTTCATCAAAGCGATCTTAGTGCTACGTTGATCGTAGCCTATGATAAAGTATGGGAGTTACGACCAACGATCTTAGCACTAAGATCGCTTTGTGGACCGGGTTCCAGGTCTTTGTTCCAGGCGCTGTTAACCTCAACAGGAAACAGGAAAGTACTGATCATGGGTTGTTGGGTGTTGTGGACACATTCGGAATTCGTGGATACATGTCCGTGTGTTTTCCCTCACAAGATACGGGAGCAAGTACGGAACGGGATCAGTTTGTGGAGGTCAGTTTAACTTATTTCACTGCCATGGCGATTTGAGGCGACCGTGAATCTCTGAGGTTCATCACGTTGTGAACAGCCATACTGGTTCCTGTTTCGCCTTCTGTTTCTTCCAACCTCTGACATTAGAAAATGTCTGCCATTAGCTTCTTTTTGACATCTGAAAATGTCTTTTATGTAATTGTTTTGAAACAGCATGCTGCCGTTGAGAAAAGTCCACACTAGTTCCTTCCTGAATACCATTCTACGTAGAAACCTTAGTTTATATACTTTGTGGAATTATCATCATCACCCATATCCATGGAAGCATTCAGGTTAATACAAACTGTATTCGATTCCCAAATTGAAACCACCGCCTCCTTTGTCTAGTGGTAGAGCGTGCGCCCGGAGAGCGGAAGGTCAGGGGTTCGATCCCCGGCCGCATCATACCAAAAGACGTTAAAATATGGTACTTGTTGTTACGCTGTCTGGCCCTCGGCATTTCGGGGCTGAAACAAGGACTGGTCGGCTCGGAGTCAGTATACTGTGTCTGAGTAGGGTATTCGTGTTAAACTGTGGCATGGTATCTCAGTGAGCTGGCACTATAAATCGGCATCAGTCCGGACTAGTACAAGAAGCCACACAAACACACGTGCATGCACGTCGCTATATATGTCCAATAATCTTGGACGCGACGTTAAACCGAATTTAAACAATATGCTAATCCACAAATCTGTACGTAAAAGTACTTAGTGTGAAACCAACAAACAACCAACAAGTGGTATACAATCAACAAATGTATTGCAAAATTATTTAAGTCAACAAATCAATACAAATTAATTCACAACAATTACAATGGCAGTAAACAACAGAGTGGTTGTACAATATAAATAAAATAAAATAAAAATATAGTGGTGATGGCAAAAGTCAGTGATAATAATATATATTCACCCAGCGGCGACAGTGGTCAAGCTTCCGAGATGGGCTAGGCAAGGAATCAGAGGTTATGAGCGATCCTCACAAAGAAACTGGTACCAAAGCGATGAATATGCATGGGACGAACTGTGTGAAAGAATGTGTGAGAGTTGAGGCAGGCACTACCTACCTACCTTCCGGAACTTTCCAGGCAATGCATGTGCATTTCATGTCCATAACATAACATAAAACAGACGTTTGTACACTACACCAGTTAACGAACATGTGACTGACATCGTTCAATCCAAAATATTTAATTTGTATTGAATGTTTCATCAATAAACAAAATCAACATTCTCATTATCTCCTGTGCGTTTCAGTTTTTGAAGAGTGAATATTGCGCATATTTCCACACAACATAAGGGCGTGCTCAAAGCCCTATTATTACCCCGTTCAATGGTTTAGTGTGCACTCAATAACCATTCTCAGCTCCCTGAGGAGTATACAATCCACGCTGCCTGAGAGGGGCTAGAAGGTTAACAACCACAAGTCCCAAGAAAGGGATACCGCCACAGGCCCAGCAAGATCTACCAAGGAATACCGCCACACGCCCAGCAAGATCTAACAACGGATACAAAGGGATACCGCCACAAGCCCAGCAAGACCTACCAAGGAATACCGCCACACGCCCAGCAAGATCTACTCAAGACTTCCTTCACACGCCAACCAAGTCCTGCGAAGGGATACCAAGGGATACCGCCACACGCCCAGTTAGACCAACCAAGGGATACCAAGGGATATCGCCACACGCCCAGTTAGACCAACCAAGGGATACCAAGGGATATCACCACACGCCCAGTAAGACCAACCAAGGGATACCAAGGGATATCACCTCACGCCCAGTTAGACCAACCAAGGGATACCAAGGGATATCGCCACACGCCCAGTTAGACCAACCAAGGGATACCAAGGGATATCGCCACACGCCCAGTTAGACCAACCAAGGGATACCAAGGGATATCGCCACACGCCCAGTAAGACCAACCAAGGGATACCAAGGGATATCACCTCACGCCCAGTTAGACCAACCAAGGGATACCAAGGGATATCGCCACACGCCCAGTTAGACCAACCAAGGGATACCAAGGGATATCGCCACACGCCAAGTAAGACCAACCAAGGGATACCAAGGGATATCACCACACGCCCAGTTAGACCAACCAAGGGATACCAAGGGATCGTGTACTTGGTGTACCCCTCTGAAAAGTGTAAACTGGCACGACTCCCATGGCCGAAAGCTATCATGAATACCCAACGCCTTTTTAGAAAGTGGTAAATGTTATATTCGAGGGGCCATTTTCTTAGTAAAAAATACAAATTCTAGTACTTTTTGGGTGTTGAATCCCCTCCTAGATTTGAACCCCAGCTCTCAGAGTGAAGCACCTAGTCGCCAGCACATAAAGTCAGCGATCATTCCCACTGATACCGAGGCTTCCATGGAAATAGAAGTCCGGACTGGGAATCAACCCCCAAAAGTTCTAGAACTTGTACTTCACTCACCTTCCTCCGAGTTATCTCCCCTCCTTATACTTTCCTTTGTGTTTCCATTTGGCGTGCCCTTATTCTCCCGTTCTCTCTGTGAATATGATCGCTGTATGACAGTAAATGAGTTTGTACGAAATAGTTCAATTATTTACCAGCCACTCCTCTCCGTATGGCTATCTCACTCGCCCCCTCTCCTCTCTCTCTCCTTCTCCCTCTGTGTAGCTCTCTCTATATCTCCTCTCTCTCTCTTTTTAGCTCTCTCTCACTCTGTCTGTAGCTCTCTCTCTATCTCACCTTCGCTCTCTCTCTCCTATCTCTTTCACTCTCTGTAGCTCTCTATCTCTCCTCTCTCTCTCCTTCGCTCTCTCTCGCTCTCGCCCTCTCTGTAGCTATCTTTCACCTCTCTTTCACCTATCTTTCACTCTCTCTGTAGCTCTATATTTCTCCTCTCTCTCTCTCCTTCTCACTCTGTGTAGCTCTCGCTACCTCTCCTCTTTCTCCCACTCTCTATAGCTCGGTCTCTCTTCTCTCTCTCCTTCTCTCCCTCTCCTCTCTCCACACTCGATATTTTACCTCGATTTGCCTATTTAGTTCTTTCGATATTGTTATCTATTCTCTCTCACCTCGCATTGCCCCCTTTCTTCCAAAATGTCTCCCCCGCGAATCTCTTACAGTCAACCAGCATCCCGGGTCTACCTAAACAGCCTGGCATATACACACAGGGCGAGGTTACATCTGTAGTTTACACTTCCCATCCATTAAACTCTCCACGCTGACCTATTCACGTCTCCACCAATACACTGCACCCAGTGTCATTAATGTACTTTGATATTTGTCTCGTTGTAATCCGCTATACAAAACTAGTTTTAATTCAGTTCAACATTTACTTCGATTTTCTTGCCATTCCCATGACGTTGCAGGAGAATGTTACTGTTTCACCATATACGTTCCTATCATCCCTTCAGCTTCCCAAGTATGCCTCGCTACATGCCGTACACACAGAGCGTGACCAAACAACGCATAACCTCGGGTCTGTTTCATTACAACCGAAATACTTTGGACAAATTACAATCCGGGGAATATTCATGCAGTGGCTTTTAGTCACATTCTCATAAGTAGGCATTTACATAAGGGGAGGGCACCTGTTCCATGTGCCTCTATAATAGACGGGTCTCGCAGCATTTCGGCAGTTCTGCTTTTGGAGTTTTCACATACACACGTTAACCGGATTCCTCGTCTCTATACACAACAGAATTTATACAAGATGTTGAAGTTCTCTGGTATCGGTATTGCTCTTCTGGGACTTGTCCTCGCTATTGACGGACAGATGGGTAAGTAGTTCTCCCCTTGGTGTCAGTTATGTAAACTGTCAACGTTACATAAGCCTGTTGACGTTGCCTTAACGCTCAACGACGTCATTGTTAGTCGGTGGTAGATAGAGATGCGTTACCTCGTTGAACAGACGTCGACCGAGTCATTATTATTATTATTATTATTAATTTTATTATTATTATTATTATTAACAATATGTATGTACGTGGTTTGCATCGGTAATGCGATAGTTAAGAAGGAAATAACGTTTGCCCGCTGTGTATGCGTTGTATGTGATATGCATTCAAATTCCCTGGTCACTCTTGATATTTCATGGATATTTCTCCATCTACGGGCCGCATTTGAACTCAATAGTTTATGCAGAATAAGAACTCGGGCATCTTTTGTTACATTTAATAGCAACCCTTTGGGATACTGGGATACTTGTCGGTGATGTGTCTCAAGGCATTGACTTGGTGCGTGTAAGGCCTTGCTAGTTTAATAGATGTTGGGTGCAGGAAGAAGTGTTTTAATTGGTGTCCTTGTGTTAGTTCTTCCAGTCATGGACTACATGAACGGTATTACTGAGAATTAAACAGTTTTATCGAACGCTAGGCAGTGTAACATCTTTTAACGTGTATTTGTATCACGCTGCCGGGGATCGAACCACCGACCTTCCTCTTTCCGGGCAGACACGCTGTCCACCAGACCAGGAAGGCGGTGATTGCACAGATAAACCTGAATAAGATGATATGGCCAGTTTGAACTTGCAACCTTTTCATCTGTGTCTTTAATTTAAACATAATCTTGAACGTGACTTTAAAATCCATTTCACCTCACCTAATTAATCACACATCAGTAAGACTGTTTGTTTCCTTGTTTGTTGTTTAACGCCGCACTCACCAATATCCCAGCTATTTGACGGCGGTCTGTAAATAATCGAGTCTGAACCAAACAATCCAGTGATTGACATCATGAACATCGATCCAAGCAATTGGAATACGATAGCATGCATCATCAACCAAGTCAGCGAGCCTGACAAGCCGATCCCGTTAGTCCCCTCTTTCGACAAGCATAGTAGAAAGATGTTTCACTTCAGGAGTTAGAGTCAATACTAATTAAATTCTAACTCCATAATTTGATGCTAAACCTCATCACTTCATTGCATTTTGGGGGCACTGTGATGGAAGTATTAAATGGCAGACATTGAAGCCTGGCGTGTCACCTTTCTCTTCCATCACTCTCAACAAAGCAATTCTTGTTTCAACCAAAGCAATGAACGGTTTGAAGTTGAATTGGTCGTAGAATTTTGTATCTTTTTTATGTAGAATGACTTGAATAGATCAAAACTATTTCTTCTTATCTAGTTCTGGAATGTTTTTGGATAGAATAGGTTCCCTTTCAACACGAATATAAACCTGTGAGGTGATTTGAGTAGAATTTGTACCCAGTGAAAACGGTTATACACTTGAGGAGTAACTTGAGTAGAATGGTACAATGGTACATACGGTTATACACTTGTGAGGTGGCTTGAGTAGATAGTGTGCCCTGTACATACGGTTATATACTTGTGGGGTAGCATGAGTATCAATCAATCAATCAATCTTTATTGTATAAAAAGGCCATTGGCCCATATACCCATACAGATAAACAATATCATTTACAGCTGTACAGCGCATTATATAATTATTGGATAACTAATATGATGCTTGACATGTAATAGAGGTATTGTAATAACAGTGGTAATAACCACAGTGGCAGCAGTAGTAGTATAAAATACAAAAGGAATACAAAAGGAATGGAATGGAAATTTGAAAGTTTTACGTCGCAAAGGCTTTCAGCCATAGCGCGAGGTTCAATACAAAAGGATCTATCAGTAATATACTCATCATGTCAAGCTAATTTGACAATTTAAATGTATATGCATTTCTAGTAGAAACAAACAGACAAAAATGAAATGTAGATACTCCTGATCTAGATGGGAAAGTTTCAAAACAACTAATTATTTCTGGACATGTCGGATTTACTAAGTAATTTACTACGCACTCGTAGGCTTTGATAGATGTATTGTAATATCTTGGTTAATTTTTGACTAGGGATACCATTTAAAGATAATATTTTGCTCATGGAATAGTGGTTCTTAGTGAGTAGAATGTGTACACAGTACATACAGTTACACACTTGTGAGGTAACGTGAGTAGAATGTGTACCAAGCACACATGGTTATATACTTGTGAGTTAACTTGAGTAGAATGTGTGCCCAGTACACACAGTTATATACTTGTGAGGTAACTTGAGTAGACTGTGTACCCGGTACACACTGTTATATACTTGTGAGGTAACTTGAGTAGAATGTGTGCCCAGTACAAACAGTTACACACTTGTGGGGTAACTTGAGTAGAATGTGTGCCCAGTACAAACAGTTACACACTTGTGAGGTAACTTGAGTAGAATGTGTGCCCAGTACACACTGTTATATACTTGTGAGTTAACTTGGGTAGAATGTGCACCCAGTACACGCTGTTATATACTTGTGAGTTAACTTGAGTAGAATGTGTGTCCAGTACAAACAGTTACAAACTTGTGCGGTAACTTGAGTAGAATGTGTGCCCAGTACACGCTGTTATATACTTGTGAGTTAACTTGAGTAGAATGTGTGCCCAGTACACGCTGTAATATACTTGTGAGTTAACTTGAGTAGAATGTGTGCCCAGTACACGCTGTAATATACTTGTGAGTTAACTTGAGTAGAATGTGTGCCCAGTACACACTGTTATATACTTGTGAGTTAAGTTGAGTAGAATGTGTGCCCAGTACACATGGTTATATACTTGTGAGGTAACTTGAGTAGAATGTGTGCCCAGTACACACTGTTACACACTTGTGAGGTAACTTGAGTAGAATGTGTACCCAGTACAAACAGTTATATACTTGTGAGGTAACTTGAGTAGAATGTGTACACCAGTACAAACAGTTATATACTTGTGAGGTACCTTGAGTAGAATGTGCACCCAGTACATGCGGTTACATACCTGTGGGTGTATCTTGAGTAGAATGTGCACCCAGTACATGCGGTTACATACTTGTGGGGTAACTTGAGTAGAATGTATGCCCAGTACATACGGTGACATACTTGTGGGGTAACTTGAGTAGAATGTGTACCCAATACATACGGTTATACACTTGTGAGGTAACTTGAGTAGAATATAGACCCAGTACAAACGGTTATATACTTGTGAGCCAACTTGAGTAGAATGTGTACACCAGTACAAACAGTTATATACTTGTGAGGTAACTTGAGTAGAATGTGTGCCCAGTACATACGGTGACATACTTGTGAGGTAACTTGAGTAGAATGTGTGCCCAGTACATACGGTGACATACTTGTGGGGTAACTTGAGTAGAATGTGTGCCCAGTACATACGGTGACATACTTGTGAGGTAACTTGAGTAGAATGTGTACACCAGTACAAACAGTTATATACTTGTGAGGTAACTTGAGTAGAATGTGTGCCCAGTGCATACGGTGACATACTTGTGAGGTAACTTGAGTAGAATGTGTACACCAGTACAAACAGTTATATACTTGTGGGGTAACTTGAGTAGAATGTGTGCCCAGTACATACGGTGACATTCTTGTGGGGGTAAGTATAAGTAAAACACATCCCCAGTATCCAACGACATAATTAACCTCATGATTTACAGTATATATGAGGGGCGTTCAATAAGTTTTGCAACTTCAATATTAGACCAAGTCGCAGAACATCTTTTGACTTTTATTTTTCAATATAATCTCAATTCATCTCAATACACTTATTCCATTTTAATACCACTTTTATAGAAATCCGCAGATTGGCTCTCTAACCACGCCTCTGTGGCAGCCTTTATGTCCTCGTCATCCTGGAAGAGTCTCCCACGTAGGGCAGATTTCATTTGCTGGAACAGGAAAGCGTCACTGGGGGCTAGGTCTGGGCTGTACAGTTAAATCGCCCACCCTACAGCCCAGACTTCGTCCCGAGTGACTATTTCATGTTCCGGTAAATGAAATCTACCAGTCGTATAGAAATCCTTCAGAGCCAGTCGTATATAGTTTCTTAGGAGCAATTCGTATTCAGTTTCTTCCGAGCCAGCCGTATATATTTTCTTCGGAGCAATTCGTATAGTTTCTTCAGAGCCAATCGTATATAGTATCTTCAGAAACAGGCCTGTATAGTATCGTTAGAGCCAGTCGCATATTCTTTCTGTAGAGGCCACCAGAGAGAGTGAGTGGAGAACACTATCCTGTACTATGCATCGTGTTTACTTTCAGGGGTTTCAGATCCCCGGTGCAATGAGATGCCTGACGGCACAGGGAACGTGATGGCCAACGGCAAGGCTTGCAGAGAGTTCCTCCAGTGCTGGGACTACCTCATCTATGGCCCGATGCCCTGCGCTGGGGGCACCATGTTCAACTCAACAACCGGCAATTGTGATGCAACGGAATGCGTCGAAGGTAGATCAGGAACTCCGGACGGTGCGTTCACAAGCACAACTACAATTTCTAATTAAACAGCTACGTTTACTATAGTACTACGCCTACTGTACCCTACTACTACTACCTCTACTACTACTACTACTATTACTACTACTACTACTACTACTACTATTACTATTACTACTACTACTATTACTACTACTACTACTACTACTTGGTTGGTTGGTTGGTTGGTTTGTCGTTTAACGCCGCACTCATCAATAATTCCGCTATATGCCGGCGGCCTGTAAATAATCGTGTCTGGACCAGACAATCCAGTGATTGATATCATGAGCATCGTTCCACGCCATTGGGATACGATTTTATGCATCAACCATGTCAGCGAGCCTGACCACCCGATCCCGTTAGTCGCCTCTTACGACAGGCATAATCGCCTCTTAAGGCAAGGATGGGTTGCTGAAGACCTATTTAACCCCGGATCTTCACGGGTCACTACTACTACTACTACTACTACCACCACCACAAATACTTCTACTACTACTGCTG